GCTGTTTTTTATAACTTTTTTTCATTATTTGGACAAACATGCACAAAGTGTGAAGGAAACTTGATATTTATATTTTTGATAGATAGTCATTGACTTCAAACATAGATAATTATTCTAAATTAATATTAACGTGTCCAGTATAATGGAATAAAATACATGTATGCACAATTTTCCAGTTGTGTTGCAGAATTTTACTCAGTGACCCATTCTCCATTGCTCATATGAACATGAATCAGTGGTATCTGTAAATCAGTTCATTGGTACCAGGAGTAAATATAGTATAAAGTAGCTTAGATCGTGGATGTATTTACAATAATTGCTGCAGCTGTTGTTTCTACGCAGCCAATATGCAGATTGAAGAGCTTAAGTATACATGTAATATTAATATTTTTGTTCTGTTCATTAACCCATCTAGTTTAAAGAAGACTGCTGAGCACCGGAAAACTGTTCTTCAGTGAAAGAAAGCTTTAGAGGAGAAAAAAGCAGCCGTACCCTTCTCTGAGATAGAGGGGGACAAGTCAGATGGGAAACTTACTAGCCACATACGACTGCAGCAGTTCCTGGAAAAGTTTGGCGAGGCTGCTTGTGAAAAAGCATACACTAAAAAGCAAATTAAGTTGCTTTGCATGGGATATGGCCTTCGACCTAATAATCGAGAAACGAAGAAAAAGATGGTTCAGGATCTTCTCCCAGTTATTAAAGCCATTGATAAAATGCCACAAGCATACTTCACCAATGTGTTGCAGTCTCAAGTCAACCTCAATGAGGGTACTCAACGAATCACTTTATGGATCAGCAGAGTTGACTGAAGTAATGAAAGGTAACCTTAATTTAACAATTAAAAATCTGATTTACCAAAATTATTTTGGTCATTAAGTGTAAAACATAGACTGCAAAATACTGTCAGTTTTCACCGTGCAAATGATTATGTGACAACAATAGTCCCCTTGTTTTCTAACAAAACAATAGTCCGCCATCAGTCAGCAGTCTGTATTTTACACTTCCCCAAGTTATTTCCCAGTCTTGTCTCTCTGCAAACCATAATAATTATAGAGTTTTTCAGTCATTTTTGTTCACAGAGGTATGTCCACTGGGCTGTCATTAAGAGCTGGGGGCCAGGGATTTCCATTAGCTACTTTGAATGTGGCCTGTGGGCTATTTTCATGGGAACATTTAAGAAGAAAAAAAGAACGAAAAGAAATCCCTAGCTGTTTGATTCCCAACCGATCATGTACTTGTTGTATTTACCTGCCAATTTGAAGTCTTAGTGACAACCCTGTGTTCATGTACATAAGGTGAAATGTAAGTAAGCAAACAGAACTAAATGTACCATTTTGTTGTCCAAATGTTTTTCTGTTTGAGGAGGCCCAAATAAATTGATGTTAATTCCAGTCAGTTTGAAATCTGAAGGGGATACAATAATATTGTGTAAAGGGAATGGCATTTTGTACTCTATTGCCTACTTATAATGAAATGGTAATTTTTTACACTCAGGTACATGTATGCATATTCACCCATTTTTTTATATTTTAAAGAATCAGTACAATTTAAGAACCTCCATTTAGCGGCCTGACCATTCACAATGTGACTATGGTGATCAAAGTTCAAAAAATAGTTCCAGGAAATGTAAATACATACAGCTATAATCACAGTTATCTTCTAGCCATCCCAACAACAATCAATTATTTTCAAATCTATTTAGACTGGTCACCAAGCACATAATTTACTAATTGATAGGATATATTTTATGCATTATGATAAAGGAGAATACCGTAAAATTCCGAAAATGTTGAGAACGTTTGAACATTCGTGACTGTTACATGAAGTCATGTTTATCAAGCCTCGTTTTGAGTAGTAGTTTTACGGACCTCGTGGTTCGAAAAAAGAAAAGACTGATCGAGTTCGCAGAAAAAACTTTGTTGTTCGGTTTCGTTATTACATTGAGGACTAAGGATTGTGGACATTAAACTTAGTAAGATTTTCGGAACTATTTGGTGTGTACTCGTGTTTTCCACACCAAAAGTGGCGACCCCGCCAGGACCTGACTTGAAGACGCGTGAAACTATCTTGCTTTGCGGAACACTGACATTGACTGGGAGATTACTTTATTAACATGGTGGATCTTGCGGAAGGAAATTACAAGAAGGCATTGAACAAGGCAACCTACTACGTCGGAGAAATTGAGGAAAAACTTAACTATGGAGTGATAGAGGATTTACGCTTGGCTTACGAGAGAATATGTGACATAAACAAAGCACTCGAGGATTCTGCGAACGGTGTTAAAGACGCCATGTTGGATGCTGATACTAGTTTTGATGAGGTAAGAAAGTGGTCAGACACCCGTAAACAAGATTTTATTCCTGTGCGAAACCTACGAGATAAACTGAAGGAGGCGTTAAGCGATTTAGAGAAACAGGAATTACATAAGAAAGAGGAAGATTGGTTCAACAAAAAGTTTGAGCTAGAACTTGCCTTAGATGCAAAAAAGGCTGCACAGGAAATGAGTAAACCACAGGCAGTTAAATTACAGAAGTATTCTATTACACCATTTAAAGGGGATTACAAAGATTGGCTCAGATTCTGGAATCAGTTCGTGGTAGAAGTTGATAACTCCAAAATTTCTGAGATAAGCAAATTTAATTATTTGCTTGAGCTGGTGGAAGGGGAACCGAAGAGTCACATTCTTGGCTTACCGCACACTGTTGAAGGCTATGAAGAAGCAAAAAAGATCCTAGAACTTACTTATGGTAAAAACATTAAGGTTCTCAAGGCATTGATCAAGGATTTGGAAATGCTTCCAAACATTACAAGCCTCACTAAAGTAAAAGAGATCCATGAGTTTTACAAACAGCTGTCTAGAACTGTGAGAGCCTTAAACACAATGAAGAAATTGCAAAGTGCACAAAGCTATGTTTACAGCATTATGGACAAGCTCGGACCAGTGAGGGAAGCTTTAGTTCAAAAGGATGATGAATGGGAAGAGTGGGGATTGGAGGAGCTTGTAGAAAGCCTACGCAAGTACACTGATAGAAATCCTTTACCTGAAACGTCATCACAGAACCAGGATGTCAAGAAACCTGTAGGATCGAATCAGGGAAATCAGTGGAGAAGAGGTGAAAAAATGTTCATGTCTGGGCCAAATCAAGGACTGCCTAGGCTCCCTCCACCTTGCGCACCCTGTGCATACTGTAACTCTCACCAACACAGAAGTTCAGAATGTACCAAGATACTGGATGTTGCCAGCAGAAGGGAGTTTCTAAAGAAGAACAGACTTTGTTTTAATTGTGCAAAATCTGGACATGCTGTTTCCCAGTGCAAATCCCGTGGATGTGGAAGGTGTAATGCCAGACACCATACATCTATTTGTGAAAGAACCTTTACAACCATTCCACCCAAGTCAAAGTCTCCCTCGGACAGGTTGTATGGGGCATATGATCATCAAGAAACCCTGCACTCTTCAGTGCTGGCCAAAGTAAATGGTGTGCAGACACGGATCATGCTTGATAGTGGAGCAGGTAGCTCATACATCAGTGCAAACCTGTTGACCAAACTGAACATTAAGCCGTGCCGAACTGAAAGCAGAGTGATTGAGCAAATGTATGGGACAGTGGACAAACGAGTTGAAATATACAAAGTCCATGTTGAATCAAATGTAGTTGATAGTTTTGGAATAGAGTTGCAATGTGTCAGTGCTGAGAAGCCTGTTTTAACCTACCTGCCTAACCCTAAAATCTCTGAACTGAAGGAACAGAATTATCACATAAGGAGGCTGGTATTTAGCGAGGAGCAAGCGACTGCTGAGAAGATAGCGGTACACATAATCCTTGGAGCAGCTGATATTCAACGAATCAAGTCAACCGAGCCCCCAGTTCTAGGTCTTAACCCGGACCCTGATCCCGGAGCAGAGTTCACCATGTTGGGATGGGTCATCGCTGGAAAGTCTACCCCTCTGAGTGCTGAGGCAGAAAAGATGTTCTTCATGAACTCTAGTCAGAATGAATTCGTGCAGATGTGTTCTCAGGAAGTGCTTGGCCTGAAAGATTTGGAGAATGTCTGTGATTCCTTCCATGAGGATTTCATAGATCAGCTAAAAAGATTGAAGGATGGTACCTACTGCACGAAACTGCCTTGGAAACCGAATCATGCCTCTTTACCTTCAAACAAAGAACTGACAGTTGGGAGATTAAGAAGTGTCACACGAAAGCTGGAGAGGATGCAGAGACTTGAAGAGCATCACACTGTTATGGAGCAGCAGTTAAAAGAAGGAATCATAGAGGTGGTGCCAGAAATACCCACTGGGGAAGCAATGCATTACATTCCCCACCATCCAGTAATCAGAGACCAGGCAGAGGCTACAAAGATGAGGATAGTGTATGATTGCTCAGCTAAGGCCAATTCTCAAGTACCTTCTTTGAATGACTGTCTGGAAGTTGGATCCACTTTGCAGCCTATGATCTTTGACATTCTTCTACGAAATCGCCTGAGCTTGCTGTGTATTACCGGGAACATCCAAAAGGCCTTTCTTCAGACAAAAGGGGACCCGAAGGACATCTGTGGTACGAGAACCTTGACTCAAGGACAGTTACAGAGTACCGATACACTAGAGTGATTTTCGGGTCAGGACCTAGTCCTTACATTCTCGGGGCGACCCTCAAGAAACATGTGAGCCAGTATACTGAAAAGTTTCCCGATACGGCTGATGCATTGCTGAACAACACTTATGTGGATGATGTCCAGTCAGGCGGAGATCACAGCGATCAGTTGATTAAGTTTAAAGAAGAGGCCACAAAGATTATGGAGGAAGGTGGTTTTCATCTCCACAAATGGCACAGTAACCTATCAGAGTTGGAAGAATGTGAGAGACCTGAAGACAATGCAGTGTCCTCCCAAGAAAGTATGACTTATGCCAAGCTAGAGGTGGGAACTAGTCCTAAGGAAACAAAAATACTGGGAGTTCCATGGAACAAAACAGAAGATAAACTTTCTGTTGGCTTCATGAA